CAGACGCAGGGTGTCCTATGGACATGCATATGCATGTTTTCTGTGAGTGTACCCAGAGACTCCAATACCCCTTAATTAAGGAATATACCTTAAGTTATAGTAGGGATCCCTACTATAATTTAAGGTATATTCCTTAATTAAGGGGTATTGGAGTCTCTGGGTACGTTTTTGTTATTGATTGCGACACCGTCGCAGAGCACCGTAAGCACGCAGGCGGGTCTCGCCGCTGCGTGTTTATCCCCTTCACCGTTCGCGGTCTGAAGAAAGTGGCAGATATTTAACCCTCTTGTCCTTGGGGCTCATCGGCTTATCGGTACGGCTTTGGGAGTCCGTGCCCGAACTTGAAGTGCTTAACTTCAGAAGTGCGGCAGTTTCGTGCTTCCTCATCCCAGGAGCTTCTGGACGTGGAGTTGGAGGGAAGCCCCGCATTGAAGAGCAAGGCGTGGGGCACAGGGAGCTGAGGGTCCCGTCGAGACAGCACCATAACACGACGATTGGCAAGACTTGAGTTGTCAGTATGCCTCGTGTTCCTCAGCTTGTGAGCATTTCCGGCGTCTGCTCGAGTGTTCAACAAGTAGGAGGAGTAGGAAGAGGAGCTGCAGCAGTAGTATAAACAGCAGTATAGCCGTAGCATCAGCAGTAGTAGTAATAGTCGTCGTCGTAGTAGTAGGAGTAGTGGGAGTGGAAGAGTGGTAGCGGCAACGGCAGTGGTAGTGGCAGTAGCAGGAGTAGTAGTAGTGGTAGCAGCAGTGGTGGTCGTAGCCGTGGCTGTAGCACAGCCGTAACGTAACTGTAGCCGTAGTCATCGACGTAGTCGTAGTGGTTGTGGTGGTGGTAATTGTAGCGGCAGTCGTAGTGGTAGTTGTAGTCGTGGTGGTAGCGGTGGTGGTACTTGTAGTGACACTCGTAGTGGTAGTCGTAGTCGTAGTGGTAGTGGAACTGCCAGTGGTAGTCGTAGTGGTAGTCGTAGTCGTAGCCTTGGTGGTGGTGGTGGTAGTGGTTTTAGTAGTAGCAGCAGTAGTAGTAGTAGTAGCAGCAGTAGTAGTAGTAGTAACAGCAGCAGCAGCAGTAGTAGTAGTAGGAGTAGTAGTAGTTTTAGTAGTAGTAGGAGTAGTAGTAGTAGTAGTAGTAGTAGTAGTAGGAGTAGGAGTAGGAGTAGTAGTAGTAGTAGTAGTAGTAGTAGTAGTGGGAGTAGTAGCAGCAATAGATCCGTGAGTAGAAAGTTTATACTAGCTCAGTCTGAGCATCCAGGTCGGGGAGCCTGGACGGCCGCAATGCAGAGGCCAATATACTTGGACATGTTGCAATAAGGTATTGGGTATACTATACTGTACTTGCGTTCTTAAAACGCCTAAGAATATCTCCGGATAGGGCTTGGGGTATATATGTAGTTATGACACTGTTCTACGACACTCGAACCAGCTAGAAGCTTTTTCGGCAACTCATCCCATGCCCTTGCTGGCTAACCCGTCGATGCAATTCTTGGTCTGCATGGAACGGCGTTCAAACGTGGTCTGGATCCTTGTTCAGAAAGTGAGCTTGAATTACCAGCTGCCTATCGCTGCAAAATAAATAAAAGGTCCTCCAAGAAAGCCCTCTAAACGCCACTTATTAACACAACAAGCCTATACAGCTTGAACAAGAAGCCAGTATGTTCTTCGCTGCTGGTAGCTTGGGCCAGGCTTCCCCGAGTACCGTGCAGGCCATGGTCCACCCCAAGGGTCGCAGTGAATAGAAGGCACTTTACACTTGAAAGGGTTTGGGGGCTTCGTGCATAGGGCCCAATGGCTGAATGTGTGGCCTGGGTGCTTACACTACCAGAGCTGTCATTCTAGCAGCAGCTCTGAAGAATACTACCATCGCCGTCTGCATTCTCCGATCTCATGGCTTCGAGAGGGTGTAAGGCCTAACGGCTCGACCTCGATTAGCATGTCATTTACCACGACCAACAGTCGACTGCAAGCAACACAACCACATCGTGTTATCGGAGAGACCTTCTCCACCCTGCCCTAGACTAAATATTGGGCAGTTCTCTACATTCGGGTTTCTTTGGGGCTCCTTTCTATAAGGGTGCCGTACTATTCTGGCGACCTAAACAGGGACCCTAATTTAGAGAACTCTCCATATGGTAAACTCAAGCATCCAAAACCGCCCTATTTTCCTGGACGCTTAACCGAAACTGCACTTTATGGGCTCTCCTTTTTTTGCTACCTGTAAGGCTATCAGATGGCCGTTTCCGGTGTTAAATAGATGTTCGAAGTTCGACCGTCCGCCAAAAGTGGAAATTCCCGAACAATAATGCGAGTCGTATATGATCCCACGACAGAGACAAGCTTGGAGCTTGTGGAAGCACACGAACAACGCAGATGCCTTACTAGTGTACCCACGCTCAAAGTTTGAGAGATAATGTCGGTTCTGTATTGGCCTCACTTTTCGGATCTTTATTCATGACAAGGGTTCTGCGATGCTCAGTAATGTGATTGTTGAGGGTAGATTTGCAAGCATCCACAAACCCAACGAGTCGACATGCCAACCTTGATTCAATGTATGTAGGGCATTTATAATTAGAAGAAGGGATGCCTTGTACTATGGTGGAGCTGTATAGGGAGAAAAGGGGAATACCTTTCTAGCTGCATAGACCCCGATATGAAGTGTCTTCACATGATGTGTATCTGGAGCGTTAGCACTGCTAGACAAGACCTAACTTCTGAGCTTCGAGTCTTGTGGCTTTCGGGCATGGGGTGTGAAACCTGTAATTTGAAGCCTCCATGCACAGCTTACTGCGCGCCTTGGAGCAGTTGAAAACAGCACAGGCCAGGTGGGGAGGTCGACCAGTGATTGTATTCAGAAAGCAGATGGCGGGGCTAAGTTATTTAGGCCGCTCTATTCACAACACTTCACCTGTCAAACGCCCCAAAGACCAGCCTGTTTAGAGTTCGAGCTTTTGGCACTCCCTCCACTGGCGGAGATCCTGGGGCTACTCGAAGAGCTGACCCTAGAAGCCCAGGTTCCGATTTAAAGGCTCCAAGGGCTCCCATCAGCGTACCTACATGGTGGTGCTCCCTTGGCTCACTTGCTTGTCTGGGAGGTTGCTGGCCCTACATAACCATAGCATCGTAGCTAAGCCAAGCCCCGAAACCCCAAACCCTGACGCGTCAACCCAATCGCTCAACTCGAAAAAGCATGTGGGAACTGCCTATATAAGGACCTTAATAATTTCAGAAGGATTTCGGGGTATGTTATTCTATAACTATAATAAGGAACCTTCAGAATAGTATAGGTAATTTATTTATGCCCCTATGTTCGGCTACTTTTGGGAAGGCCTTATGAAGGTGGGCTTCTTCTTAAAGAGCTAAGGTGCAGTTACCGTCATCAGGAAAGCAGGATATCTACAATACCCCGGTTTCATGTTAATCATACACAAAACAGACCACAAATATCTAGAACTCGTGTAACGGGAGAAGGGCTCGACCACACTCACCTTGAGTGTCTAGAGGCCGAATTACAGGCCCAACAGATTCGAAGGTGGAACTCCTGAACATAGGTGCCTGAACATATTGGACTAGGCTTTTGGGGGCATGGATGGTTTACGAATCAAACAGACTTAGGGAGTTGGATATGGTTTAGTATAAGCATATATAGGCAGATGGGGATTTTCAAGGGGAGTTGATCACCAATTGCTTAGACCCCTTCAAAAGACTGTAAGTCCGTGCCAAACAACAAGACACGTCGAAAGCTTGTCTCTATTGGGATAGCAGAAGTTTCCGTTCAGGCTGTGGGTTCAATTTCTTCAAACGGCTCATGTCGCCCCAAGCTCCGCGGTGTGGTAGCGAAATGCTCCTGAAGCCTCTTCAAAGGATTACAAAAAATCAGCAACAGCGACCCAAGGGTCCTTCGCCCAAGTGACACCGAGCGCCGAACTAGCCGAAACTACTATATTAAGGTGAAAGTCTTTGGGCATGGACTGAAACAAATAGGGCGTCCAAATCGTGCAGCGGTGACGCCTGCCGTTGCAGGCTCTAGACCACAGCTCCGTAATTCGAGTGTGCTCTGCTAGTGACCGCAAGCCCTAAACCCTAAAATTCGGGTGCTTCCGGCTGGGGTGCCCCTTGGGTCCCGACCCCTCACAGAGGAATGCGAGGCAGCTGGTCGGAACATGGAAACATTGAAACATGCATGCAGGAAAGCGCCGAATTCGACGAAGCTACGAACCCTACCTGGTGTGCTAAGTTCACAAGCGATATTTGAAAAGTATCCTTCCTGTGGATGAGGTGTCCCAAGCCCGTCACTGTAAACCTTGCCAACCCTAAACTCGAAGCGCTAAACCTCTGCGTGTTTGTGTAACGGCAACGCAGTTCAAAAGATGTGACCTCTTCTCGTCCAAATCAGACGCAGTATTGCTAGCCCAACTCAAATATTGCGACCATCAAACCCCTTAACACAAAAACCAGCCCTGAATCACCACAAGCCTTGTGGAGCCTTAACGCAAGACCGAATGAAAAAGTAAAACCCCAAACCCAAGATCCGTGCTACGTCTTTAGTGGCTTTGGGATCAAATGGGCTTCTTAAAGTTTTTAAGGCACCTAAAAAGACCATAAAGGACACTAGCAACATCCCAAATTGCCATTCAGTAAACTGCCTAGAACATCCATCCCTCCCATCTACATAAGACCAAAGAGACTAAATCCTAAGGACGATAAGCCTCTATTCTGGGTACCCTTCTCGCCCTTAAAGGGGATCTCAAATGAGCATCAAGGCCTCTAAAGTTGCCCCTTCAACCCGACACCACAAGCCCGTAAACCCTGCGCTCCTCAGCCGTCACAACTTAAGCCAGCCCTTTCTTGCATGTAGGCTCTCTTGTCTATGAAACCTTAAACACGAAATCTGTGAGGCAGTGATTTACATCCTCCCTATCCCCTAAGCCCTATAGTCCCTGAATCCAAAATCGCCTAACCCCTAAACCCTAATGCCCAAACCCATATAAGATCCGCCCTGGCCCTTCAGAGGTCGACGAGCTTCAACTGAAATCCGATGGTGCCGACCACAGCTGAAGTGAAGTACACGAACCTCAGAAGAAACCCGGTGCATTGCGAATGGGTTGTATGATGCATTATATCGTGCATCATACATCACATATCATATGGCATATCTCAGACAAAATGCGTCATGCACTATTTCTAAGGCACTAGCAGCATAATGTATGTGTGTATGTGTTTACATGTTCTCTACATTATACCTTGTACAGTCTATATTGTATGATGTATCAAAAAAGTCATACTGTGCCTTTTTTGCTACAAAACAAAAACTACATGCTTCTCGTGGTAGGATAGCTTATACGTTGTTTAAAATGCGTAGCAGACATGCCTGCACGTAAATACATATTATAAGTTAAACCTGCCGCTTCTGTCTTGTATAGCATACACTCCAATAAGTCTACATGTGCAGAAAGGCTATCATCTTATTCTATACTAGATATTTCTGTATAAGACTATGTAGTACTACATACCAGATTTCTTCAGTACAGCACATGCTCTATACTATGTTATATAGGTATATACATACATCATGGCTGATATTGACATTGCTATTTGTTCTTATTCGTCTACAAACTGCAGGTTCATACATGTATGCTATTCTTGATATTTCTTGATAGTGCGATGTTACCTAGTACTCTGTGTCTGAGTCTAAATATGTACGATGTGTGTAAAGCAGTATGCATTACACAACGTATTCCATTTATTATGCAGGGTATATGTCATGTTCATACCTGCGTATGCCACATACTGATGTACATGGCAAGAGGTGTCGGCTTTATCATGCAAAAGTCTGTTATATAGAACATGTAGCATGCAACGCATTTAGCATAGTAGCTACTCACTTTCTATGTAGTATAAATGCAGCAAAAAAACTTCATGTGTGTATCTACACGCAAAAATAGAATAGCTGCTATCTTTTGATGTTTTACATCAAAAATGATATAGCTTGTCTTCGAACACAAGTATTCAAAAGTATCTATGTTCCAATCTATGAGTTTGTATATAATATAGATGGACATCCATATATTCATAAAAACACCATGTATGATATGCCTTATCTTGCCAATCAAACCTCCTAAAGCACATATTCAACGCTGTATATATGTCTACATCTCTATACTCGTGTATATATGCTTATGTCGATAAAAACCTGTGTATTTACAAATTTTCCAATTGACTACCTCATGTACTCAGCTTGCATAGACAATATTTCACAACACAAACCTTTTTCTATTATATACATAGTGTGGCACTTTGTTTTATACTATACTACATGTCGTTTTAGATGCACGCATACTTGACATACCATGCTCAGTCATATTATCAAATTTCATATGCAACTACATCAAACTACATTAAACTATGTTATGTTACAATGAATATCTTATTTTTTTGGCTTGGTGCATTTCTCGATTTGTGCGCTGATCTTCCCTGTATCGTTTCCATCTACTGTCTTGTACGTGTATAGACGGCTCTAAGCCGGAAGGTGGGTGAATGAAGGTTTAAGGTTCTTGGGCTTGGCCTTTGAGGGTGGCTACACTTAGAATGACGCACTCTCTTGTGGGCAAACAAACTAGAACTGGGACTAAATCGCATCTTGCACCGCATCTTGCGGTCATAGAACTCAAACCGTCGCAGGACATAGTTAACGCAAAGTCCTTCCCCGGCCGGCCACAGTACCAGGCTCTCTCATATTTGGACTTGAGAATGGAAGGCGACAGGGAAATAACTAAGGAACATACATTACATCCAAAGTGTCAAAACCCTGTAACCCCTGCCTATAATTTAACGTATAGGGGCTCGAATGCTGCTGAAGTGCTTTGCAGGTTCCATTACGGAAGGCCAGGCTTGTAGGCACAGTAAGCTTCCAGGGTTGAGGGTTTAGGGTTGTGTCACAGGCTCTGAGCTCAAAACAGACCGCTGTATCTTGGATGAACGCTTCTTTAGGGGCTTACACCCTAAACCAAACACTCAAACACACAGAAAGCCGAAACCTCCAAGAGTAGTCTTGAGAAGGTTGGGTTCAAGGCTGTCCAAAGAGCGACAGGTTCAAGCAGATCTGCCTACATTTCAAAACCCATGCTGTGGAGCTTAAACTGCTTGTCACAGCTTCGGACAACTTGGGCTTAAGGTGCTTTTTGGGCATATTTCGCCGAGGAGCTTTTGCAGCACCCCAAGTGTAACGCGTGTGTCCCACATGAAGAAGCCGGACTCGCTGAGCGTGAGGAACAATGCGAGGTCCATGTAGGCCCCCTCTTCCTTCGGAGCGGACGTTCGCAAACAGCCCCATACCCCGAAGTTAGCAGTTAGCCAGACCCCCAGACTCTAAACCATATCATAAAGGGCTTCTTGTGATGGTATCAGGTATACTCGCCAACTAAGGGGCAATGGGCCCTCTGGGCTCCAAAGTAACGTATCTTGGAGTTTGAATGCCTTGATCTAGTCTTGCATCCCTTCCAGCCCCTACTACTGAACCTAAGCTCCAAACCGTAAACCCCAAATCCCACTAACGGTACCCAAATAAAAACACAAGCCTTCGCAAGATATGCAGAGCTGGCATTTTGGGAAGATACGCTTTAGGGTTGGGGCTCCGGCATTAGGACGCTCAACGATGCGTACAAATAGAAGCATAATTTCTGTGATCGGCGTCTAGTGCCAGAACAGCTTGCTCGACTGCTCGAGTTGTCTGCACAAGGGAGGCGCGCACGTTCACATGCATTCCCAAGAAAAAAGGCACGCAGTGGTGCCATCTAGTACGTCCAAGTCGCCTCCTCCTCCTCTGCATCCAGCATGCAGAGCCTCGCATTTGCTTCCAGCTGCATCATGAACTTGAAAAGCCTTCTATCCCGAGTAGTAGCTAGCAAGCCGGATGTCGGACCTTCAGCCGACGGGTTTACCATGAACCGGCCCATACTTTCGCAGAGGGACCATTTCTCGGGGGTACCGGTAGCTTCAGGATCCTGACTGTGAGCTCTCTGTGCATCACGGCAGATCGCACGCATGTAAGTGCATGGGCAGGACTTTGGGACACCCTCCCAGGTTGAACAAAAACATCTGCAGCAAAAAGGGGCAGCCTCACCACAAAAAGGCTCTAACAAACCTAAACGCCAAACCATCAACCCTTGTTTTGAGCAGGGATTGCAATGCACTAAGATAAACCCCTAATCCCCTAAACTCTACCTCCATAACTACGGATTCGGCGATCGCGTTCGGGCCGGTTTAGAGTTTGGGCTTTCGGGGCTTGGGGTGTTTAGGAAATAGGGTCTTGGGTGGGAGAAGTTATACCCGTCCGGGGATGCAGCCTGAAGTGACGCAGCATCGAACAACATAAAACGCAGCAATCTCAACTTCACGTAGAGTCAAGCAGAGCCGGAGAACAGGGACGGCAACCGAGTGCAATCTGCTGTCGCACAGGCAGCCACATACCTCAGCTGTCTCCCATCTGCCTTTCCGGTGGCTACGAGTAGCTGTCTGGATACTATATGAGGTCTGCCACGTTTTAAACACCGTATCGAAGTCGATTAAGCTTCACTCAATGCCCCAGCGCAACTTGTAAATACTTTGCGTGCCAAGTGCCCAAGCAACCTTGCCCTCGCATCTTACTGAACCGCATCTCCCTAAGAGCAAGTATGCGATGCTCCCCCCAAAACTAGCCCGATTTGAGCGAAGTGGAGCCAGCAAACCCCGTCGCAATCATCTGCGGGCCCATCTTCAACCCAAACTTCGTCTTGCGCGAGATTGGTTCTCATATTGGAAATACTCTTAGTTCTCAGACTCTTGGAGATGGGCAGAAGGCTGTTCGGTCTCTAGGCTGACTGACCCAGATCCCTGGGAGGTCTGAAGTGTAGAACCCTTCATAAGGGTTCCCTATGAAGCATCTTACTCCTGTCTCAGGCTAGGGTCACTCGAGACCCAAAGAGCACGGCGTTGAGCACTTAACCTCGTGTCCATCCCAACTCCTGAAGCTTCCCGAAATTCAACCACCAGTCCTTCAGCACATGCTGATTTCGAGAGCTCTTCGAACAACAGAGTTCGCACCGCAGGATCCACGATGCTGAACACCCCCTGAACCCACACCTGAACCCATCGGCGAGGGGCAAGGAGAAAGGCATGATCAATACCAGGATCAAGTTCGGCACAGCATCTGCACCGTGGCCCTGCGCAACCAAAGTTTGGAGACTTCGAAGGCAATATCAAACAATGATAATTGCAATCAGATTGGTATCACAGTTTTCGTCAGAAGTGCTATATAGTATAATTACTCGTATATAGTCGGAATGGGTAATTCTATGTCTTGAATCCTAACCCAAAACTTGGGAGACGGGCTCCTTTGCTACTACTGCCCTTCAGTAGTATACCAGATAACTTAGACCCTGGTTAATGCGCCCACCTATAGAAGGAGTGTAACCGGGAATCCTGGACCCTTTATTCTACATACTTATACGAACCTGTCAGAATTCGGATCTAAGGCTTTGCCTGGCTACTTTTTCTCTCCACCTTGGCTTTCTTTTCTCTCCCGGGTTGGGTGTTGGCTCAAGACATTGCTGTCTGGGATCGGAAAAGAAGGCTCAAAGCATGCTCTAAGAAGGTCCACTGCTTTTGGACCGAAGGGGTCGTATCGCCGAAACAAGTCCTATAATAATCTTGAAACATGCGATGTCCCAACCGACCCCGTGAATATCAGATTGTCACGATATGTATGTGTGTGTGGTGTTGGAACATTGGAAGCACTTGAGACTTGTTTTGCCGTCACAAAAAGTTGGTTCCATTTCTTTCGAGCAATGACACCTATCTTCTTAAGGATTGCTTGGCCGGAACCAACTTCGATCCAAAAGCAGTGGACCTTCTTAGAGCATGCGTTGAGCCTTCTTTTCCGATCCACAGAAGTGTCCTGAGCCAACGCCCAACCCGGGAGAGAAAAGAAAGCCAAGGTGGAGAGAGAAAGTAGCCAGGCAAAGACTTATCTACAGGTATACAACCAGGCTAAGCGCAAAAAGGAAATATAATCGAGGGTCAGTTGTGGCCAATCAGTGACAAAAACTGAACAGCATTGAGTCACCCAGGCATAATGATAAGCTTGAACGAAAAAATCTGAAGCGCCAACCCCAACTCAAAGTTCTAAAGCCCTAAAATCCCCAAACCACTGAGATCCTTATACCAAGTGTACATTGAGCAAAAAGCCGTGCAGACCCGACATCTTCAACTAAGAAGCCACAGAGTTTCGCATCCTTACCCTAAGGGTCCATGTACCCCAAAAATATATACTTTGGCCCCAAAGTGCCTATATAGGGACTACTGTAGGGCCAAAGTATATACTAGTTGGGTACATGGACCCTTAAGGTTGCCTCGACCAGCCAGAGCCGACGTTTCCGCAGAGCCCCCTATGAATCCAAAAGTCTAGGGCCCTGCGAGAAAGTGGGTTATGGCATGTTAAAGTAGACTTAGACCACAGGCTTGTGCTACAACCGGCCGAAAGGGCCGATAAGTGAATACACAAGGCAAACAAGGATTACATACTTCAACAAACAGGTCTCAAACAGAGAAGACAGAAATACACAATCTGCATGTATCATTATATGCCGTAACCGGGCAAAACCTTTTCTCCCTGGCCTTAGAGTTTTGACGCTCGCACTCGGACAAAGCCAGGCAAGGTCGATCAGGGTTATGGCGTACATTCTACTATACATGTAATCCGGAAGCCTGAGCAATCTTTGCTGCACTTGAGAATCCTAACCCTAAACCCTGAACCCCCTCCTGCCCCTGCACCTGAGAAATGTCATAGAGCGTCGCGAAAGCTACCAGCACAGTCGTTGCCGCCAAGGAAGCTGCCGTGAGTTGGTGCATGCCTCGGGTATTACAAGCTTTAGGGTTTAGGGTAGGATCTAAATGTAGGATGTAAATTTCAGGTAAACTAGACTAGGATTTTGGGGTATGGATAACGGCCGTGGAACTCGTCCCGGGGTCTCGAGGTTCTTTAGGATACTCTGGTGGTTCCAGCTTCCTTGAGAGGCACCTCGTGTACAAACCGCATAGTCGTGCAGCAACTTCCGACTGCCAACGCTCGCTAAGCCTCAATGCCCTGGGTTTAGGGTTTAGAGCTTAGGCTCAACTTACAGCTAAGCCTTACGCCCCAGAACCCTCTCTCTCAGGGGTTGATTCCTGGCCCATAGCTAGGTTCCTAAACTTCCCGGAGATCCAATTCCAAAACCCAGCCCGTCAGCAAAATCCCCAAACCACAAATCGTACATGAACGTTGGGGCCGAAGCCCTTTTGTTCTCTGGTGTGTCCAAATGGCGTGACGTCTGTCGCATAGCGCCAATGAGCTCCCTCCATCTCATCCGCGCCGTCAGACACGAGATCTCACCTTTTCTTGGGGCTTCCCTAGTGGATTTGGGACCTTTCCATCATCATGTCGAGAGAGAATAAAGCCGTGCTTACAGCTTCAAGAAAAGCCTCAAAACATCCTGGGCAAGGCAGTCAGGCCAAGCAGCTCATGCGTTTTTGCATTCGAGGTTTAGGGCTTCGGGCTTCTGGTTTAAAGGAATTTAAGGGCTGAAGCAACGGTGAATCGGCAGCAGAGTTTGGAGGGTTGGCGCTTCAGCGGCTTGGATTATCTTGGATTATTGGGCTCAGCTGTTCTTCCAATCCGGAGCAGGTCACGAGTCTGGGAGTACTGTAGAAACTGCTTGTTCGGTCTTTGCATGTGAGTCGCGCCGAGCGAAATTGAAATCAACCCCATGGCAGTTAGACCGAAACAAGGCTGCCTCTTCGATTGGGAGGGTGCAGACTTGACTCCAAGTCCTAGTCCTAGTCATTGCAGATCTCCTGTGCTGACTCACACCCCGTTCCTCATCGCCACGGTCATCCTGATGTGATAGTGGTCATTCTCATGTTTGCCTTTCGGTTGTTGCCAAGACAATACGACCGCCGGTTGCTTCCGCTGCCACTTCACACTATCATTCCAAACATCGGCCGCCACGTTTCACAAATGCCTGTCATCGGGAGCCAACCACGCTCTTCCTTTCTTCCCGCTGCAACTGGCTTGCAACGTCACGCCTTTTTCCCTAAGCCCTGCTCACTGAGGTGAGATCACGTGGGTCAGTGGTGTGCTGCTGTCGGCAGAAGACACCAGAGCCTCCTCGCACCTTGAAAACATATGACATAACCGTCTAACCCCAGCATTGCAACACAAGAGAACCTGACCAGAGATGACTAGATAATCGTCGCGCGCGAGAAAACAAACTGTTTCCTGAGCTCCCCAGTTCTAAAGCCTTCAACCCTCAAACCCTCAAGCCATAAACCCGAAAACCCAAAGCCCTACACCCCTAAAAAGGCGGCCTTCGAGCACAGAGCGCGCAAAGACCGCAATCGCCAAGGAGATCCCGCGCCATTTCGCGTTCTGGGCAGGCTGCGACTCGCTGAAAATTCAGGGCTTAGGGCTTCAGGGTTTAGGGCTTTGGGGTTTAGGGGTTTAGGGTTTAGGGCTTTAGGGTTTAGGGCTTAAGGGTTTAGGGGTTTAGAGGTT